CAGGAAACACATTAAATTATTAACTCATGCCTCGAGCATGAGTACAGAGCTAGTGGTTCTCAAGTCCAGCTGCATATCAAAATTAGATAGCTTAAAAAATATATACAGGCGCCTAATTTGTCCTAAGACGCTGATTCAGAAGATGTGGGGTAAGGCCCAAGCAGTTGTATGTTTAAAAACCTTTCTAAGTGATTCTGATGCAATGGGAGGGGTGGGGGTAAAGACTCACACACAGGTACTGATGTAAACAATCCCACAGGATAGAGAGGTGTGGGGTCCATGCTTCTCAAACAGGGACAGGAGACACTGTACCAAGGACTATTCAAAACCACACAAAGAACATTTTGCAACTTTCTGGAAAATCAATTTTACTTGACAGGTGAGTAGTTTAAAATGGAAAGAACAGAAAACCAACAGATTGGCTACTGAGTTGTTGAGGCCTGTACTTCTAGCTAAAGTGATCTTATGACTAACTCCCTGTGCATTCTTTTCTTAGAATAACTTACCCTTTTACCCTGGAAGTCTTGAAAGAAGGTAGACTGAATCTCTAGAAAATGGTAAAACCCTCCTCAATTTCTCCAGAACAACAGCAAGTTCTTATCAAGGTGAAAGAAATGCAGCTCCTGCTCACACCCTAATTGTTATCACCTTCCTGTCCCCATTTTTCTATAAAACCTCAAGACCCCAGCCCCAAGGCTCAGGCTTTAAGGCATTAGCCTCTTACATGGGCTACTTTAGGCACCATCCCCATACCCAGGGAGGCCAACTGTTTCACTCTCCTCTGTTTGGGATGGGAGTTAGGGCTTGGAATGTAAGGGGTAGACCTTTTGGAAGGGCCCACTGGGTTCTGAAATCCTTTTATTTCCAATACTTTTCATTCATTTCACTACCTATGACCTACACCTCTCTCTTCTTGTTTCTTTACTTTCCACATATTCCTGGTCTTTTTGCTTCAAAACACTTCAAATCCTCAAGAATTTTGAAGTTCCACTCTTCGCTGCTATGGGAGATTTTCTGTGTGCCACTGAGCAGATGGTCAAAAGACCCTGAGGCTGCAGTCGCAAAAAAAAAAAAATCACACAAAGCAAGGTTTTCACTCAAAAATATTTTAAAAGGTTCTCAGCTGCAGGAATTGATTGTGGTCTGGGACCGACTCTAAGAATTACAAAAACTCCTATTTCCTGACTTTGGAAAGGCAAGACTGGAGAGTAATGCGGATTTGTAGCAAGGGCTGCAGAAAACAAAGGTCAAAGGTAACTAGGTTCAGGTTACTCTCTTATCTCTTGTGGTCGCAGGGCTGGACAGCAACTAGAGCACAAGACTGGAAGTCCGAGGCCCGGCCGGGGTCCAAGGGGTCTGGGGAAGTTTCTTATCTCCCGCTTGGAGATTCTGCTTCGTTACCTAAGCTGTGGGGTAAAGTGCACAACGGCTCACGGATTCCATTAACGCGTCTTACTGTGCTCACGGACCGCAAAGCCACAAAGTTATTAAAGTAGAAACCAAAAGGCGCGTAAGCAAAAGCCCAGAACACCGAAGACGCGAATGAATGACGACACAACCCCAAGACAATTTCGCTCAACAGCGGCGCCATTCGGCCACCCGTGTCCCAGCAGCCTTTGCGAAACTGCACGCAGCCGCGAGAGGGGCGCGGGGGGGAGGCGGAGCCAGGCGGCGCCCGCGCCACGCCTCTTCTGCCCCTCGCCACGCCCCTTTCGCCCCCTCAACCCGCCTTCGGCCCCGACTCTGCACGTGTGCTATCCGCCTTTTCCGTACTCGGAAATGGGTCCGGAAGGCGGAAAATGGCCAGAAGCCACCGCAGTTTGGCCGCTCACCTGCTCGGCCTAGGCCGCTGCCTCCAGCTGGTCCTGCCTCCTTAAGACGCTCCCACCCTGGCGAATGGAGGACCCAGGAAGAGGGGCCCGTGGTGATTGGAGGAAGAGTGTTTACCTCTCACCGCAGCTCGCGCGCCGGTCGGGGCCCCGCCTCCCCCTCCTCCTCCGCCGCCTCCGTTTAAAGCGTTAGGTCGCCCAGTCCCGTCTCAGAGGGGCTGCCCCACAGCTGGTGTCTTCGGGGTCGGGTTTGCTGGGTTACTCCGTGTCCGCCTGCTGTCGACTGCGAGAGCGCCTCGGACGTTCGGGTGGAAGATGGAGAGTAACGTGGCAGAGCACAGCGCCGGGAGCGAGGGGCAGGTGTCCGGTGCGAAAGTCATCGCCCAGGCCCTGAAAACGCAGGTGCGGCGGGCTCCTACGGAAGCCGGCGGGGCCTAGCGTTGTTTTGGAAACGGGGAACGCGGTGGGGCGGCCGGAGCGAGGTGTGTTGGAGGGTTCTTTGTCGCCCTCCAGGAGGGAACGGTGGGGCGCGGCCCCGGCACTTAATTCCCTGTTCCTGGCCCCCAGGACGTGCGCTACATGTTTGGCATCGTCGGCATCCCGGTGACTGAAATCGCCCTCGCCGCCCAGGAGCTGGGCATCAGATACGTCGGCATGAGGAATGAGCAGGCGGTAAGTACGGACGCTGAGAGCCGAGTGTATTGCGGGGTGATTAACAGTAACGGCCCGTATTCACTGCGGACAGTCAGTGCTCACCACTATTCTAATACTTTACACGTATCAATCACAACAAGCTTAGGAGGCAGGAACTTGTTAACCCTAAATGCAGGTAAGAAAATGAGGCACAGAGAGGTTAAGACACTCGCCCAAGGGGACGGCTGTGAGACTGGATAGGTAGTCCGAGGGGAGCTTGGAGAGAGTCTATAGCTAGAAAAGGAATGTGGTCTTTTTTTCAGTGGGCATTGAGTGAGACTGGAAAGGTTTTTCTGCATAGATGGGAAACGTCATTATATTTTTACTTTGGAAAGATGATTTTCATGGTAATAGAGAGTATGGATCTGAAGGGCAGCTTTAAGTTCTACTTGAGTCCCTCTGGCTTAGTTGAGGGTCTCCATAGGTCCCGGGTGCTATCTTGGGCACTGAGTATGGAGATGAATGATATAACCTTCTTGTCTTCGAGGGGCTTATAACCTGGCTGTGGAGACAGACACAAACAGACACTTGTATTTTAATCTGGTAAGTGCTCTGATAGAGATGTAGCCAGGGTTCTGCGGAAGCCCAGGAAGGGGTACCCAGCTCAGCCCAAGACTTCAGAGAGGGCTTTCCGGAGGAGATGATGCCTGGGCTGTCTCAGAGGATGAGGAGGCATTAATCAAGGGGAAGGAGAGGACAGCTTCTTCCACAGAGGATTCCTGGGTTTGGGCTTGCCTGACTGACGAGATGGATCGTACTGTCCCCGACTCAGATCGGGAATAGGGAGGGAAGAGCCCACGCGGAGGGGGAAGGGAAGGCTTGCAGATCTGGATGTAGTGAGTTTGAGATGCAGCATCCCCAGTGCATGACCCCCTAGTCAGCTGAGTCTTTGCAGCAGTCAGAGGATGACTTAACTAGGGCCTGGCCGGTGGGGAATGGCAGGGTGGTTAAGAGAGAATGTGAGAAGAGGTTCAGGAGCGGTTCAGAAGGCAGACAAGGACTTGCATCCAGTTGCATGCTTGTCCTAAAGAGCAAAGTGTAATTGGTTATATCTTGATTGTCTTTCATCAGGTCCTTAGAGTAATCAAGACATAGTGACCAGTTTCCCAGGAAGTAGGCAGACCCTTAGGAATTTAACGGTTCTCAAAAGTTCACTGTGTGCAGGCACTGTTCAGAGTGTCTTACATTATTAACTGATTTCATCCTAATTATGTTCATTATATGAATGAGGAATCCAAGGTACAGAGTAACTTGCCAGGGTGACACAGTGGGAAGTAGGGTTGCAGGGATTTGAATCAAAACAGTTTGGTTCCAAAGTCTGCTCTCTCAAGTATACAAACAGTAATCCACCTGTGAGTGGAAGTAACTGGGTAAAGGAATAGATTTTCTAAGATCGTAAAACCAGTTCCTGTTCAACTTTTGACATCTGTTACCAGAGGAATGTAATTTTTGTTATTTATTGTTATGTGTATTGCATTTTGCAGCAACATTGTTTACCCTGCTTTAATAAGTGGATAGCGCTCCTCAGTGTTCAAATAACTGTTCTTATGGCAGCACATGTTTTATTCTATGCATGTGCATTTCTTAGGAGTTGTCCTGTTGTCCTATGTGAATTTGTCCTCGTGTGCAAAACGGGAAAGAGATCAGGGCCAACAGAGAATAGCAACACGGAGAAAGTAGAACTTCTTAGTTAGGCTTGTGGTAGTGGTGCCAGGTGAGATATGATTCATAAATACTTATTTTAAATTTTTTACATGTATCTCCTTAACATGGATTTAAGTTTTTTTTAACTTAACACTTTTATTGTCATATGGTTCTTGTACAGTAAATTACACATATTTCAGATATGCAATTTAATGAATTTTGATAGATGTGTACACCTATGAATCCACTACCACCATCAAGACAGCTAACATTTCCATCACTCCCCAAGAGGTGCAAATTTTGAACTCCCAATTTATCCCTTCCCACCCCCTTTACTCCCTGGTAGCCATAAGTTTGTTCTCTGTGTGTGAGTCTGTTTCTATTAATATGGATTTAAGTTAAGCATGTCACATATAAAGTTGAGTTAGAGGTTAGAAAATACCCAATTTATTATATTTCTTAAACAAATGAGAAGAAATAATACTGGAAAAAATGACGTCCCAGACTAAGACAAAGAATTTGTTTGAAAGGGCATTAAGCATTTTTCCAGGTTATCTTGTATTTAATTGAGCATTTTCCCTCCCTTCCTGTAATGAGCTCAAGTGCAGTTTAAAAATTAAAACTAACCATATGAAGGCCATGAAGAAAATGTCAACAAATCTCCAAAGATGGAAAACATAAAGTATATCTAACCTGACCATGTAGAAATAAACTGGAATTCAATAACAGAAAGATAACTAGTAAATTCCCAAACATTCGAAAGTTCTATAACACATTTGATCCTTTGTAAATGTTTGAAAAGATTAATAAAAGCAGTAAACTTCACAGGAGACTAATTAACAGTAAACGAGAAATACCAATTACCAATGTCAGGAGTGAAAACAGACCACGGACCCTAACTAACTCATGGGATGAAAAAGAAATCACAATGGGAAATGGAACGTATTTTGAATTGAATGATAAAAAGATGAGCTCTCAGACAAGTAAGTTACAGCTAAAGGAGTTCTTAGAGGAAATAGTTTCAAATGAATCTGTTAGTGAAGATGATCAAAAATCAATGCTCTAAGCTTACATTTTAAGAAGCTAGAAAAAGAAAACCAAAGTAAACCCAAACTGAAAGGAGTGAAATAGTAGATACAAGGGCAGAAGTTAGTGGCACAGAAAACAAAGAAACAATAAAGAAAAACCAGCAAAGCCAAAAATTGGTTCTTGGAAAAGATTAATAAATGTGGTAAATTCCCTAGCAAGACTGGTAAAGAATAAAAGAGAAAAAACCCAAATTATCAATGGTAGGAATTAAAAAAGGGGACGTTTCTGTTGATCCTGCAGATATTTAAGCAATTATAAGATGCTATTGTGAATAAACTAGATGATACCGACAAATTCCTTGAATAACTAAAACTTAGATGTAGATACTCACACTATTATTTGAAATTTATGGGTAGAAGATGACTGTTAAAATGAAAAGCACTCCAATTCCTCCTTAACGATTAAGTTCTACTTTCTTGCTTAGTAGTAAATTATTATACACATACTTCATAAATGGATAATACTTAATACCGAATGCTGTTTAATACTATGTGGATGCTTAAGTCCCCATGTTTTTTCTTTGTAGGCTTGTTATGCTGCCTCCGTGGTTGGATATATGACAGGCAGGTAAACTGAAGTCTGTTTCAGTTTCTTTTTTTAATTGAGTTGTAGTCAAAATACAGTATTATATTAGTTTCAGATGCACAACATAGTGATTCGGTATTTTTATATGTCATGGTCACCACAGTAAGACCAGTTACCATCCGTCACCATACAGAGTTGTTACAGTGTTACTGACTGTGTTCTCCATGCTGTTCATTGCCTCCCGGTGACTTACTTATTTTATAGCTGAAAGTTTGTACCTCTGAATCCCCTTCACCTATTTCATCCATCCTTCCACTCTTCTTCCCTCTGGCAACCACCAGTTTGTTCTCCGTATCTATGAGTATTTTTTTTTTTGCTTCATTTGTTCATTTGTTACGTTTTTTAGATTCCACATGTAAGTGAAATCATACAGTGTTTGTTTTTCTCTGTGTGACTTGTTTCACTGAGCATAATACCCTCCGGGTCTATCCATGTTGCCACAAATAGCAAGATTTCATTCTTCCTTTGTGGCTGAGTAATATTTAATTGTATATATATACCACATCTTTCTTATCCATTCATCTGTGGGTGAAAACTGAGGTTGCTTCCATATCTTGGCTACTATAAATAGGGCTACGTGAACATAGGCATGCGTGTATGTTTTTGTATTAGTCTTTTTGTTTTCTTTGAATAAATACTCACAGTAGCATTGCTGGATTGTATGGTAGTTCTATTTTTAGTTTTTTGAGGAACCTCCATACGGTTTTTCACAGTGGCTGCACCAATTTAAAGGCTGTCTTAAATAGAGGTTCTTAAAAATTATTTTATAAATTGAAAATGGCAAACTGATTATATGGAGATTTTTCTTCAATGCTTTAGGCTGAAAAAGTCATCTAGGTAATGAGGCAGAGCCCTACGCTTCAGAATTACTTCCTGTCAAAGACCAATTGACGTTTTGTATTTATTTATTAAGACATTTTTCAAAAACACTTTCACCATACAGAAATGTACTCAGCAGCCAAAAATTTGCTTCTGTATGCAGTTGACTTGATTTAGCCCAACATACTAGGAGCAAAATACGAATAGGTTAGTGAAGTACAGTGTGAGGACGATAAGTACCTTATTTCCGGCAGGAAGACTGATACAACCCTGTTTATCTAATTCAAAAATACAGTTGTTTTACCAGTCGTAGTAAGACCTATATGTCCTTTCTTTGAAGTCCAGAAGGTTACGTTTCACAGAGTGATAATGAATCACGTATTGCATTTGACCTACTTTTAATAAAGTAAATTCTGTTTTGCTTTCAGGCCGGGAGTTTGCCTTGTCGTTTCTGGCCCAGGTCTCATCCATGCCTTGGGTGGAATGGCAAATGCCAACATGAACTGCTGGTAATTAGATTGTTCTTATTGAAAACAGTTTCTTAAAAATCCCAGTGCGTGGTTTTACCTAGTGAAGTATCCACTAATCTGTGATGGGAATACCGGGAATCAAGTGCTTGAGGAAATGACTCAGTGACAAATTAAGAAGAGCATTAGGAAGAAAGTGAAAAACCATCAGTAATTCCTTCACTTGGGGATAAACACTGTTAATATTTTGGAATGAATATGTATATGCATATATAATATGTGTATTCCACATCTACATGTGTATGTGAATGTGTGTTTGCCTCTTTAAGTAAAGAATTATTTATTAAAGATCCCAGCTCAGTATGCAAGAATATATATAATTTTTCACCTTGTCTTTCATAACTAGGAAAACAATTGAAATCTTACATTTGCGTTTGCTTTATAAATTCATTAGTTGATCGTGCCCTTAAATCCCATCTCTGGTTCTTTACCAATAAGATCATGTTAAAAGGGGCTATGTTTTGATCAATTCATACAATATTTAATTTTCCAGAGGAAAGGACATTGTTTTCTTTCTTGCTATGTGTTTGTTACAGTTTCTTCTTTCCTTTCTTCCTTCCTCATCTTTCTCTTTCTCATCTGCTTTAGAGTCCAATAATTTTTAAGTAACTTTAGCTTTGCTGTATCTTTTTTTTTTTTCTTCCTGAAGGATAAGAATTTTACTACTGAGAAATTTTCCTCATTCTGCCATTTCCAAATAGACTTACTTAGGAAAGTGTGAAAAAACGTTTTTCCTTCTCCTGATCCCAAAAATAATAGGAATGGCCTAACAGTTCATTTTACATCACCACATCAGCACCTAGAAGAGGCAGGGGAGAGCCAGGCATGGAGGAAAAATATTTACTATAAATTTCAGAGTTTTCTGAAATTGAGGAAGGGTTCTCTTACATCAGATTGTTTCCTAACTGTTTGTAAATTGACAGGTCTTAAGGGAAAATATAATTCTCTTTCTCTCTTCTTTAACATTCATTGAATGTTTTTTATTCATTGAGCACCCTGCTGAGTATTTTACATGTTGATCTTATTTGTAATTCTCTTTTTTGAAAAATAACTGTTTCAGGCCCTTGATTGTGATTGGTGGTTCCTCTGAAAGAAGTCAGGAAACAATGGGAGCCTTTCAGGAGTTTCCTCAGGTACCCGACTCTAAGATCTTTCCTCTGGCATTTAGTAGCATAGTTATGCTCCATTAAGATTTACTCCATTAAACCTCCTGCCTGCAAAATAAACAGTTAAAATAAAATATAGAGGTACCTGAGATAATTTAAAGGTAATTTTTCTTAACTACAAGAAGACTTCAGTGCGGATATTAAGAAAGCTTATGTTCTGCTTAGGAGCAGTCTTCCAATATTTTTTGACTGAATTTTGGAGTCTATAAAAAAGTTCTTCAATGGTTCAAGAAATTGCAGGAATAAAAATGGTTTGGGGCTATGCCTCTAGACTTAGAGGAAGCGAAAAATTGAGAAGAAAAATCCTACTGAAAATGACTATCAGTATACTCTGGACAGGGTCATTTTTACTTTAGAGGAATAAAGGTAAATATTTAAAATTTTTTGAATACTCCAAAGAATTTGTCAACAAAGTGCTACAGTTTTAAGCATAGCTGTAGAAAGCAAATAGGTGAGAGTGAATGCTTAAGATGTGAATATATTTGAGCATTTATGGTAAAAAGTTATGCGTAAAGTTAAAACCATTTGGCAAAGTCTACTGGTAAATCAGGAATCGTGAGAACTTCAGAATATAAAAACAGAATTTTGTATATGATTTAAACTAATGTAAAATATTACATTTTGGTATTGGTTAATGAAAAGTTAGATTTTTATACTCTCAAAAGAGAATTGAAGTTTTACGTAGTTTATGGTAGAGAACAGCAACAGTTACTGAGAAGATGCTGATATATTTAAAAAATAAGTAGAGCAGATAAGTTATTAAAAGGAAATTTAAAGTTACTACAGAAACCTTACAGATGAAAAAAGAAAGCCGAGAAGAATGCCCATTACAAAAATGTTTTCCTGAAAAGTAAAATAATACATATTTATTAGATGAAATTAAAAATTTGAAGAGAAAGATCACTGATTTGATTTAAAATCCAGGTATGTTTCTTGTAGAAATACTTAAAACTAAATGACATAACCAGAACAGACTGAAAGCTGGGGGGTAATCTTAATTCTGTCACGCTTGTGGGATAGAAACTACCAACTGTTCCATAGATTTCATACCAAAAAGTATCAAGAGAAACAATTTCTCTACAGTGCTTCAAATAAACAGTAAAAAATTAACACTACTGAATTTACATAATCCAGACAGCAAAGCAACAAAATATATAACAGGAAAACTGGCAGAAATTTGAAAATAGATTATTATTGTAATGCAGTGTGACAGATGAAGTTGTGTATTCCTAGCTGTGGTGTTTCTGGGTCTGAGGATATACTTATTTAAATTTTCAGGAGGCATTGTCAACTTCCATTCTCATTTATACCCTCACCACAGTTTATGAGATTGCCTGTTTTCCTGTATTGTGGTAGATGCTGGGTGTTATCTACCTTTTTTATTTTTGCCAATCTGAGAAATGAAAATGGTGCCTCATTTTCCTGAATCATACCAAGGCAGAAATTTGATTGTGCTTTTGGGCCTTTAAGAAACAGTCCAGGTAATGCTTTTTTCTCCATCTTGCCTCTAAACGTAATAGAAAGTAATGGCTTAATATTTTGTTTTCCTTTAGAAGAGTAATATGATATGTGAGCTGAATTTCAAGTTGTCTTCTTTTCACATTATAGGTTGAAGCTTGTAGATTATATAGCAAGTTCTCTGCCCGGCCAAGTAGCATAGAAGTTATTCCGTCTATTATCGAAAAGGTACAGTATTTAATTGCAAGTTCTCTGAGTCAGCTGGTTTATCTCAGTTGCTTATACCTGTGTTATTTTTATTCTCAATAGAATGAGTAATAATTTGGAATATACTCAGGCAGTTAAAAATGATATTGTTAAATAGCTATTTACATTTTAATGTTCACTGTCGTTAATTTTAGAAACAGATAAAATGATTTATTTTTGGAAAAATTTCCTCCTTTTCTTTAGTTTAAAACACTTTTTTTTTAAGTTACGGAAAAGTAGAAGGAAGGATATGAAACCCTGGGTGCCTTTCTCTTATGCTTTTGCAAGATTATTTTTGAAAATTAGCACTGATGCGTATAAGACTAGCTCTTAGTTGATTAAGTAGTGTATTATAAATTAATTTTATACGTGAAGTTACAGTTGCACTGTTTCAAAAGCCATGTGTTGCAGAAACCATTTGACACCTGTTACAACATCACAGTTTCTGAAACCTTTGCCCAATCATTAGAATTAGGAAGTGGGTGAAAGTGCATGGTAATAAAGACTTGGCAGGCAGAGCCTAGTAGATAATTTTTAAGACTAAAGTGTAATAGAACATGAATTTTAAAGCCTTAAGTGAGTAATTTCTTTCTTACCTCTCCTCTTTTAAATAAAAATCTTTTAAAATGTATACAATCAATAGAGGACATTTCAGTTTTAATAAGAATTGCTTATTTTTCCAACTAAGGATATCCAGAAAAATTAAAATAGTGTTCATTTCATGATTTTAATTTACCTTTGAGTGGAATATAATAAGGCTTGAGATTTTAAAAATCTTTTCTTCCATTTGTAATAAACTCAGGCAGTGAGAAGCAGTATTTATGGTCGACCAGGTGCTTGCTATGTTGACATACCTGCAGATTTTGTCAGCCTCCAGGTGAATGTGAATTCTATAAAGTGAGTAATAGTTAACTGGAGTTCTTTCTTAATTGTATTACCATAATGCTTACCTTTTAAAAAGAATTTACCTAGCAGTTTATAAGTTAATCTTCATTTGTCTTAACTTTTGATGATTTAGTAATTAAACTGAATCTTAGCCAAGGGCTTAATTCTCTTAATTAAAATGGTATTATTTAGTAATTATTTTGGAGTTTAATTACTCATCGAATACTTGGAGCTTCTCAAAATCCTCGCTTGAAATTATTCTTCCAGTAACCATAAAAAATTAATCCTCCCTAATGTAGTATGATTGTTTAGAGTCTTCATAGTATAACCAAGAGATGAAGTGACTATTGAAAAATTATTAGAACTCAGCATGAAAAATTTCAGTCTATCTCTGTGATTTAAAAATATTCCGATACCAGATGTTACTGTGCTGTGCCAAGTTCCTTTAAGTTCCATAAGTAAACACTGAGTGAACACTAAGTACAACAAACTGGTGTCTCAGTCACCCCTGGTAAGGATGGGCACACGGCTTAACGCATCACTATGAGTACCATTTAGCAGATTCCTGCTGTCGTGGACCAAGTGGCCCTTTAGGGACTACAGAGAGACAGTGGGCATTGCTGCACACTTAGGATACCGAGTGGCTTCTATGTGGGAGAGTCAGACAAAAAGTGTATCTATTCTTCATAATGCCGAAACATGACAATCAAAATAATATTGCTGTGGGGAGAGGTGCCTCAGGTAAGTTAACCCTGTAAGCCGTCTTTAAAGTCTTTGCAAAGATTTGTATGTCCTTTTTTTTATATTATATGCCAAAGTTTTGTACAATATGATGTTTATTAATTAGGATAAATGAAATAAAACACTGAGGAGTTGGTGTCTAGAAATACTTAACTATGACAGTTTTAATACTTTCTTTACTAATGCATATTGTGGTACTGAAATACTGACTTGCTCAGGGACTGGAAGTATATAGTGAGGTAGTTAAAAGCATGGACTTTGGACACAGAACAGCGTGCTTCCATCCAGTCTTTGCCACGTGCCATTTGGGAACCCTGGGCAAGTCACTTTGTGAAATTTTCTCCCCCGCAGTGGTGAAATGGAGATAGTGGTAATACCTAATCTCATTATTTTGAAAATTAAATGAGAGTAAATGGCAGATAGTGTAGATATTAAATATTAGCTTTTAGTATATTTTGATTTCTACTACAACAACAGCTACTGCTATAATGTGAAGCCATTCATTCAGATTTCCTGCCAGCGAGTTACTCATTGACTGGCTGTTAGATGGTCTTAGGGAACAACTGCTGATTTACCAGATGTGACAAGGATATTACGGTTATATAGGAGAAAGTCTCCATCTTTTGGAGCTGCGTGGAAGTTCTGAAGTCTTGCTAGCTGTAACCTGCTTTAAACTGGTTCAAGAAGAAATGCGTATGCATGTTTACGTGTGTATGTGTGAAGCAAATGTGAAATTGTAGTAGCTGAGTCCACACGGTGGGAACATGGAGCTTGCCATCCTGTTTTTTCCTGCCTCTTTGTGTGTCTGGTGTTTTCTCAGTTGACCACTTTTCAGTAACAGAGCTCTGCACCCCCAGGTACGTGGAGTGCTGCGCGCCTCCTCCTGTCTGCATGGCAGAGGCCTCTGCTGTGCGTCTGGCCGCGTCCGTCATTCGGGGCGCCAGGCAGCCCCTTGTGATCGTCGGGAAAGGTAGCCCCGAGCCCAGCCCTGACTCCTGCCAGGCTTTCCAGAGGGTGCTGGCTCTCTTCAGCAATGCTCTACGTGATTTACTAGTGTCTGCTTTAATGTTCAACGTTAGAATGCGAGTTCTCTTCATCCACTTAGCATTATTTATTAGTTTTGAAATCAGAATTATTCCAGGATGCCTGGAATATCGCCTGTTGCATTTCTTTGGTCTTATGAGTAAAATGTGGTTTTTTCCATTATAAAAATAACATATAATTATTACTAAAATCTGGAAAATCTAGATTAGAAAGAAGAAATTCCTTCATACAAAGAAAACCATTTTAACACGTAGTACCTTTCTTTTCCTTTTTTGCATGTATATTTTATATTGTCATCATATTATATAGAAAGTTTTATATTATACTTAATTCATTTAACTTTATAATAACATTTTCTCATGGTCTTAAATTTTTTTCTACGTGTAATTTTTCATATCTGTTCATGTATATACTAATACTTGACTGGCAAATTATTTAAATCTTTGCCAGTTTTTATTTATTTAGAATAGCTGTGACAAACTTGATTGTGTTTAAAGCTTTTTCTGTATTTAGGATATAAGATTGATTCCCAGAAGGAAAATTAAGTGAAAACATATTCATATGTTAAGACTTCTGGTGCATATAGTCAGATAGCTTTCTCCCGAGGTGTAGTACCAGCTTATGCTCCTCATAGTGTCTGTTACGTGTTCCAGAACTGAAGGGCTATGAATCACCTGTGCCCATGCCAGTCAGTGATCATACTTAGGAACTAACTACATAGAGACTAAAAATAGTTTTAATAAAAATGATGGATAACAGGAAAAAAGTGAAGTCAGAGCTGAGCTGAATACAGCTGTCTGATGTATTAGCTCTGTGATCTCGGCAGACACTGCCGAGTCTCAGTTACCTTTCTTGCAAAAGAGAGATGTTAGCTACCTCAACAGTGTTGTTATAATTAGACAACAAAATAGGTGGAAAGAGCTCAGGGGATGCTAGTTTTCATTCTTCCTTTAACCAGCATTCGATGAGCGCTTGCAGTACGGCAGGGACCACAGAAACCATTTGTGAGGAACGTAGAGGAACCAAGGTCCCTACCGGGAGGTGGGTGGACCTGATAGCAAGTGAGCATGGTGTCCTCTGCAGTGACATGCAGAGGGCGGAGGTGGCTTCTCAGGCGGCGGCGGTGTTGCTGTGTAGGTGGTGTGGAAAGACTACCAGAGGAGATGGCGCTGTGGCCACTCCTGGAACAGTGGGTGGCAGGCCACTGAGTAGACGCAGAACACAGGCAGTCAAGGAAGGAGAACCGAGTGGACAAAGGTAAACCGAGGCAAGAGGAAGGATTCAGGGAAACTTTCTGTATTAAAAAGAAGGAACTATTTTTTATCCTCTGTGAATGAGAAAAGATCCTGAGGTGGTTTTAACAGTGGAGAGCATTATATTGAATCTGAAGGCATTACACTGTTCACTGGGATTCGGTAGAGAATTTTAATTTGTGGATATGGAGTAATATTCTACTAACCCTGAGAGAGAGCACAGAGTTAAATAGCTACAACGCTAGCCTTGGTGGCATCAGAAATGAAGTCATTTCTCTGTTCAAACAGTGAGTTGTTTTCAGTGGCGCTGAGGGCATAAGGCCTAGGGTTGCTCTGCAGACACACAACTGCAGAAACACACAATGGGACCCAGTCGGGTTAGTGCTGTTGCAGTCACAGCATCATAGAGCCTGTGTGGCGATCCCTGGAGCTTTAGAAACTCGTGCCCCTTGTTAGAGTTTCCATACCTAGACCCAGAGACTGCAGTCCAGGGTGGCCATGGTGGGAGCCACCCATGAGGTAAGAGAGAGCCTCTCCCTGTCGGGACAAAGTCCTTTCGTGCCCACCTGCACCTACCAGTAGGTGGTGCGGCCAGGGAACTGTGAGTGGTGCTTCAGTAGGAACGTAGCACAGAAATGGCCATTAAGAGCAGCAAGAGGGGTGAGGTGTGGCTTTGTCTAGGGGTAGACATCCTTGAGAATAACTGATAATGTCAGTTGGGGGGAAACTAGAACTGTTGCCTCCTTAAACGTTTAAAAACACCAAAGATGAAAACCGTTGTCACAGTTTGTTTCGGCGTTAAGCCGTGGATAAGCAGGACAGTATTTGAGAAGCTCTGAAAGCCGCGCCACGTGAACTGTCCTGAGGGCCCCAGTGTCTGTAGCCGAACTGACTTGTCCGGTGCACGTGCACCTCTTGCAGGTGCTGCTTACGCCCGCGCCGAGGAGGGCATCAGGAGACTGGTGGAGCGATGTCGGTTGCCATTTTTGCCCACCCCCATGGGGAAGGGCGTCATCCCAGACAACCATCCAAACTGTGTGGCCGCTGCCAGATCCAGGTACGTGGCTCCAGGTTCTAAACACAGCGCCTGGCGGATTCTAGGCTGATGTAAAGTCTTCTGTGACTTTAATGAGTCTAGGAGACGTTCTGAAAGAGTCATGTCATTGCAAGCACGTCTGTTTCTTCTTAGGCTTTTCAGCACGTTAAAGGTGCTGTCCTCTGCCTCCCGACCCTCATGGTTTCAGACGAGAACTCTAATCTGTTCCCCTCTGTGTAATGTGTTGTTTTTCTGTGGCTCCTTTCAAGATTTCTTTTTTTAAATCTTTGGTTAGCACTTTGATTATGACGTGTCTGGACATGATTTTGTGTTAGTTTATCCTGTTTGGGGTTCTCTCATCTTTTTGAATCTGCACATTGATACCTTTCACCAAATTTGGAAAGTTTTTGGCTGTTATTTCTTCAAATATCTTTTCTATACCAATCTGTCTCTCCTTTTTGTAGTAACACAAGTATTAGGCATGTTGATATTATCTCATAGGTCCCTGAAAAACTGTTTAAGTCTTTTCAGTCTGTTTGTCTTTTATACTTTCTGTTTCTCTGCTAAGAGCTGTAATCCTCCCATTTATTGCAAGAGTATTTTTATTTACCTTATGGGACCTAATTATGATAGCTGCTTTAAAGTGTTTGTTAACTAGTTCCAATATCTGAGTCATCAATAAAATTGGTATCTATTCATTATATTTTCTTTTGAATTGGTTACATTTTTCTGGTTCTTTGTGTATTGAATAGTTTTGTATTAATTACATCCTAGAATTTTGAATACTATGTCGTGAAATTCTAGGTCATATTGAAACCCTCTGCAGAATGATTTGTTTGTTTTAGCAAGCAGTTAGCCAGGTTGGGTTCAGACTGCATGCAGATACCGTCTTACTTGCTGGAGGCCTGATTCCAGGGTGGGTTCACTTTTCACAGCCTTTGCTGTGCTCCTTTGGGTATGTCTGCACGTGCCCAGCCCAAGAGTGAGCCCAGACTTGTGCTGGTTCATACCCAGAACTAGGGATTTCTTTTCTCTCATAGGCCAACCACACCCCCCACCCCCATTGCACAGAGTCCCTTTTCCTGGCCTTTGCTGCCACCTTATAGCACCACACAACTGGGGCTGCCTTTGAGGCAAAGTGGAAGAAAAAGAAGAAAGATGACAAGTAAGGGGGGTGCCCTGTACTCGTCAGACCACAGGGGCCCCTTTTCCTGTTTCCTCTTGCCTGAAAAATGGAGTATCTCTTGGAATTTTAGCTGCTTGGGGCCTCCCACGGTGCCGCTGTGCTGCCCTCAGAGCACGGCTGGGAGAGAGAAACAGAGAAAAAGGAAGAATTCAGTGCTTTGGGTGTTGCAGGGTCCCTTTTCCTGACCTTATGGCCAAAAAGACAGGGTTCCTTTCCAAGTTTTTGCTGCCCTTTATTTCTGCGACAGGACTGCTGTGAGTCCCCACCGGGAGATAAAGGAGGAGAACACCTTGGAGAGTTGCCACCCGTAAGGGTCACTTCTTTGACCCCTCCGGGGCCACCTGCTGTTGTTTACTTTGCAGAAGCCTCAGGTCGTTGCTTCTTCTAGTTGTTCAGGGTTTTCCGTTGTCATCAGTGGGAGAGCTCGGCTGGAGTGGGCGTCCCCAATCTTGTCTGGCGCTGGAAGTCTTTTTCCAGATTTTTAAAACACACTTTTTGATTAACCATACTTTTTTCTTTTAATTTCTTTATTATGAAATATTACAAATATACAGATAAGACTAGAGAATAACTCAAGGGACACTGATATAACTACCACTATAAACTTTAGCAGATACAACATAGTATTAAGTAGTATGTTGTTGCTTTAGGGTTTTTTTTTTTTGGTAGAGAAACAAAAACAATTTCGGATTCATTTGTAGTCCCTGTGTATCTTTCCTAATTCCATTTCCTCCCTCCGTGAAGAAACAGGAGTTCACTACTGTTACGCATTTGGTACTTTTCATATTGTCCTGCATGCCCTAAATTGCTTTTGAGGTTTTTTTTAATGTGATGTTTGCTGCTCAGTCTTTAAGTGTTGCCCATTTAATGTTATGTTAATAGCTTGTACTTTCACTTTTTTCATATTAGCATTCATTGTACAGTACACAAATTAACTACTACACTTTTTAACATACTTTTACTTGGGTTGAACTGGTTTATTTTTATTCCAGCTGAATTTTGAGAAAATAATATTAATGACATTAATGGTGTAGAAAAGATTGCAAGAGGCTATAAATAATTGAATCAATAGTTTCAAGGGTTTTAGAGTGTCTGTAAGCAAATCTGTCCTTTCACTTCTAGCTGTTAAATTTGGTCCCACAGGCTCAATACAGTATACGAAGATAGCTTTTTTGACTATGTACTTGAAATGATAACTGAATTTCTGTGACAAATATCATAACCTACCACAGAAGACAGAAGCAAAACTTAGATCCTCTCTGGGAAAAAGATAAGAAAAAAGGGAAACAACAGAGTAGAAAAGACACAACCCACAGCAGTTACGACAAATTTTCCTGAAAAAAGGCAGAAACTTTAGATTGGATTGACAGTAATGCCAGTTATATATAGCATTAGAGCCACACTGGAGACAAAATGATACAGCTTAAAAACAAGTGAAGACGTATGAGATAAACAAAAAGAAAGCAAGGGTTGATTGCTATGTTAATATCAGAGTGGATGTCAGAGTAAAATTTAAAAACTGAAGTTACGTGGACAGACATACTAAGATATATAAAACTTAGAAATACACTTGGTGTAGTATTTTTTGAAAGCAGTTCAAGAAAATGAATTACATTTTTAAAATACCTGCTTCTAACAATAAGAAGATCGTGGTTTCCAGGGGTTTGGGGAGAGGGAGGGAGGGAGGAATGAATAGATGGAGCACAAGAGATTTTTAGGGCCATGAAATTATTCTGTATAATACTATTATAGTGGCTACATGTCATTATGTATTTGTCAAAGACCATAAAATGTACAACATCAAAAGTGAACCCTAATGTAAACTATGGACTTTGGTTGATAATAATGTGTCCGTGTTGGTTCATTGATTGTACCAAATATGCCACAGTGATGAGGGATGTTGAGGGTAGGGGAGTATATATGTGTGGATGGGGAGGGCTGTGTGGGAACTGTATTTTCTGCTCAATTCTGCTGTAAACCTGAAACTACTCTAAAAAAAAAATAGTCTATTAAAAGAAAAAAAAATACCTGCTTCTAGGAATCAGTTTGAAGTGTGTATTGAGATTCAAGAATAAAGATGTGCAACTCAGTACTATTAAAAACAAAATACCCAGCAGTCGAGGAAAGGTGAAATAAATTTGAAATATATGTTCAGCAAAAGATGTAGCCTTTGAAATTTGTATTTAAGAAAAACATATTGACAAAGGAAAATGTTTATGATAAGGAAAAGTACATGAGACAGTATTTAGTATATAAATTCAACTATAAGAAAGTGCATGTGCAGGAAAAAAAACTAGATGAAGATATGCCAGAATATTAACAATGGTTTATAAGTTGACAATATTGGGTGATTTTGGTTTTTCCTTTATATTTTTCTGCTTTTTCCAGATTATCTACAGTAGACTTGTATTAATTTTTCTAATGATATAAAGTTATAAATGAAATAGAGTATATGAACAGCCTTACGGTAGTGTTCCTGTGCTTATTCATCTTTTAGATTACTACTTAAATGGAATGGCTTCATAAATTATTTCAGTTTGAAAGATCAAACTTACCACATATGCTGATTCTGAAGATTAGTGTAAGCTGCAAATTATTTATACTTTTCCAAGTGCTTTAGAAATTAATTTTAGAATAATTCAAGGAAGAATGTAGATATGCTTTTTATGTTACATCAGATTTTTCTTTTTAATAGGGCTTTGCAATTGGCCGACGTAATTGTGTTATTTGGGGCCAGATTAAATTGGATTTTGCATTTTGGACTGCCTCCAAGATACCAGCCAGATGTGAAGTTTATCCAGGTACTCAGAGAGGAGAGGTTTCAGTCAGAGCTGTCTGGAGTTTATTGTTCTTTTCTCAGCCATTATCAGCTCCACTCTCTTCTTGGCTTTTGTGAACAACCATTTTTCTTTTTATAAAAGTAGAATTTTATAAATTGTCTAACGTAATTATAGGTACCAAAGTAAGCTGCCTTTTCAAGACTGTGAAACATAACATACCACTTTACTTCTACGCAGAATACCTTTCAAAATTAAGTCTTAAACAGTTTGAAAAGCATAATTTGCCTCTTCTTCATAGTTCAGGTGTATCTAAGGTAGACAAAAGAGGTTCAAGTAGGATGGTAGGTTAGAACAAAACATTCAGCATTGTTGGGGATCCCCAAATCTTTGAACACCCTTTGATTGGAAATCTCTATAAACAAGCTGGTTTTATCTGTGTCATTAAACAGAGTGTTTGAAACAAGCTCCTGTGTCTTTGCGGCCTTCCGCATAAGCCGGCTTCCTTAGTCGCGTGGGCAGTGCTGCCTGCCCCGCGCCGTGCAAACCTGTCGGCCCTGCAGATTGTGCAAAGGGGTTTGATGGCCCCGCTCCAGTTACTGTCTTCTCCGTTTACCTTTTACTTCTTCAGGGGTCAACTTCCAATAGTCCCTTTCCCCTTGGGGCTACTGGAAACTAAAACCACAAACAGGCGAGACCTGGGTTGCTGTGGAAGATGCTGCCACCTCTCGATTGCCCTCTTGGTTACAGAATAAAGGGCACCCCCTTTGGGGCCTGAATTACTCCTTCTGGCAAAAGCTGTTTTCCCTTGCCCATGACCATGCAGAAATGCAGCTTCTGAGTAAACGGGCAGCAGGCACGCGGCGCCCTGGGAGTGGTCCCCACCACGTGGTTCCTGGGCCGGCAGCGTCAGCAGCACCCAGGCCACCTGCTAAAGATGCTCCTTCGGGGGCCTTCCCCAGACCTGCTGAAGTCAAACTCCGAGGTGGACTCTTGCAGTGGCTTAACAAGCCCACCGGGTGATTCTAATAAATGCTCAAATTTGAGAACTCCTTCTCTGACTAGGAATTCCTGTGTAATTAAGAACCTTACTATTGATTAGACTCAGAACCAGAGTTGATCATGTCAGATGCGTTTCTGTGGGTATGACGGAGCAATACCAAAGTTCTACGGAGTATTTTTAAATGAGGGAAGATAATGAGGCTTCTGTACTAGCCATGATACTCATGTAGTTCCATGGATTTTTACTTTTATTAAGGAACTTCTTAAATATCAGATCTTTATCATATGTTACACATACACAGTCCCTTTATTCAGTCTTAAGTCTTAAAGATTTTTTAAGAATACACATGGCTCATTCTTTAGCCTCGTCTCTTTTTCAGGTTGACATCTGTGCAGAGGAGCTGGGAAATAATGTAAGGCCTGCCGTGACCTTGCTAGGAGACATAAATGCTGTCACTGAACAGGTAGACGCTTTCGCCTGGGTTTTAGTTTCTGTGATTGGCCTTCAGGGAAGTCAGTTCTTGAAAATGTTTCCTTCTTGATTCACTTGATGACAGGTCTATTAATAACTATTTTAAACAAAATTTATGATGGAAAGCTATTCTTAAACATAACTAGGGAACTTGGTAAATCCAACTGCTTGTATATACATTTGTATGTGAGTAAGTTAAGCGTTTTTGGAAGGTAATTAAGAATGTAAAGGCATTCAGTCAGTAAACTGATTCAGCTATCTGAAGGATTGTGATACAGCTCCCAGAAGAACTGTGCTTACAGCCAAAAAATGGCTTTATGTACCAGAAAAAAATTTAACTTAGTATTTCTTTAGGCAAAAAAGGAGATTTTTGCTCTTCAAACTGTAATCAGTGACTTACCCTGATTGTTATTATTCGTATATAACTTACGCATTTCACTGTGACAGGAGGTAAAATATAGGCACATTTGTCAATCTGGTTTTGGAGACAAGTTGGTATTATTATCATGATGATACATGTCACATATTAAAACACTCCGGAGCGTTTGGCCTGTATCATGGGAATCCCTAGGTACTGGGGGCTATGAGCCCTCCGGCAAGTGTTCTGTTCTGTGGTGGAGTATTTTCCTTCTAGTGTCAAAGACAGAGGAGGGCTTAAGAGCCCCCTGCCTGTGGGGTGTGGAGGGGGTAATGCTTCTGCTTTGTCTTATGGGAATCCCAGCATCTGGCAGAAGTCTACACTGAACCAGGCAAAAACTTCACACGTTATCTGTTTGTCTTCTCTCGGTTGTTTGCTGCCTAGAGGAAAGCAGGGAGTATGAGCCATGTGAAGGGCAGGATGGGAGAGCTGTCCTGTTTTCTATAAGAAGAGATTTTTATGCTAATGTGATGTAAGTTTATTCTCAAAAAAGAAAAAAAATTTGTGATTTTTTTAGCTTTTAGAACAATTTGATAAAACACCATGGCAATATCCTCCAGAGAGCAAGTGGTGGAAAATTCTGAGAGAAAAGATGAAGAGCAATGAAGCTGTATCTAAGGTAAGACGGACCCACTGAAACCCAAGGACACTTCAAGTTCAGAATTCAGTTAGTTCTGTCACAGCGTGGCATATACATTCCTGAAGTCACTTACATACATACACACACCCATTCGTACATGTATTACAGCAGACATGGCACGTGACGTTTCTCGTGGCAGTGGGCATTGGAAGGCTGCAGCCCTAAGTCCCTGGGAAGTGTGGAGGGAGGGGATCTGACACTGACAGCTGTCAGAGTCCACGTGGACGGTTGTGGCTCCCTGTCCTCAGTTTGACCTTGGCACCAAATCACAATTAACCTTAGATCCTGGGGCACGTTTTTCTACCTTTAAGTTGTAAGTCCTTCAGGGCCTGCATTTATAATAGACAGGTGTTTCATCAAAATTGAAAATCTGATCTAATATATAGTTGCCTTTTTAAAAAATTTCTGCCTTATTGAGGTAAAACTGACATGTAAAACTGTAAGATACTTAAAGGTGCATCATGGTGCCCTGACGTACATGTCCACTGGGAAAGAATTCCCCGTCTAGTTAATTCACACACTCATCACCTCGCATCTCTCTCTTTTTTCTTTTTTTTGGGTGAGAACATTTATAGCCTCCTTTTTCAATTAACTTTTGTATCGCTGCTGGAAACTTGCAATTTCCTCAACTGCACTTGTGGCTTTGCTCAATAGCTGAAGGCTTTGGAAATTGTAGTAATGGGTGAAACCACCAAACCATCCACTCTTAGCCCTGAAATGAGCCACTCTGCAGGATTTGCTTAAAGTCTTTGTATGTACAAATAATGTTTTTGCTCTGATTGTGAGGAAAGATGTTTCTGATTTTTTCCTCCATTTTGCGTGTTCCTGTGCATCTTGGTTCAGCTGAGTGTGGTTTTCTCATCGATGGAGTCGTGCATAAGCAAATAGGAAATTCCCGCTATGCTCGTATTGTTCCCTGATACATCACTTGTCTTGGAATAAATTCACATTTTCAAAACAAGTAGCCTTGGTTTATACATGATTCTTTCATTGAAATTTTAATCAGTGACTGTTTCTCCTATCAAGAGCCAGTCTTAGTTCTATTTCCTGAGTGGTATCGTGATTAATTCCTTCTTTTTTCCGTAGGAATCACCTTAGTGTAGGATGGAAGGCTCTTGCCTCTCTTCTCTGGTGCAGGAGTATAGGAGGGCCCCTCATCCATCGTGGGTATAACCTCCAGTGGACCAGACTAGCACAGGTGGAGAGGCAGTGCTGGGACCAGATGGGGCTTTGCTGCGAGAGCCCACGTGGCCTTCTCTCAGCGCAGAAAGATGTCAGCCAGACACGGGCATTTACCTTGCTGTTTTCCCTCCATTCAGAGACCCTCCAGGGTGGAGGGTAAAGCATATTCCCTTTATTCTCCGGTGCGTGTGGGGAAGACCCAGATTTTCAGATTTTCTAAAACCCAACTTCATTTTTTTAAGCATAGGGCCATATTTTAGATGAAAATATTCTAGAATAGAAATTTCACTTTTTCTGAGGCAGCGTTTTCCTGAGAGTGCTCAGATAAGAAGGACTGTTTAGTCTTGTTTAACCCAGTACTTCCAGACGTCTTGGTCTTTAAGATGCTAGTGTGCACTGTGGATCTCCAGGAAGAGGGGCATTTCCTGGCTTATTTGACTGTGTCCCACACTGGGACTGTGGGCCCTGTTCTTCTTAGCGTGCCCCCTGGGACTGTGCATGGATCAGCCAGCTTCTCAGGGGCCCTCTGGAGGCCACTTGGGAATCTCTTAACTTGTGTTTGTTGCCGGTGTCCTAGTAAGTTTCAAAATATTTAGTGACATTGTTTATTTTTGTTATGTCAATCTGATTTGATTGTATTTCCCTCTAATGCTTTAGGAATTAGCTTCCCAAAACTCCCTGCCTATGAATTATTACACAGTATTCTACCGTGTTCAAGATCAGCTACCCAGAGACTGTTTTGTGGTGAGTGAAGGAGCAAACACTATGGATATTGGACGCACTGTGCTTCAGAACTACCTTCCTCGGCACAGGTACAGCTTCCAAAAAAGGAATTCTGATGATTAGAATGTGTTAAATTTGAAACTACAAAAAGCAGATTAATAAAACATTTGAGAATTATCCATGTCCAGTGTGTAAGGACGTATTTCTTAAAGTATTCTTAGGTGAGGTTTTGTAGAATTTTTATCCTTGGTATGTCCTCGAGATCATGCGATAACTTGTATACCAGGTGTTCTGAGGATGCGTTCACAGTCTTGCAAGCAGTCAGTGATTTTTCCTGCTCATTCTGCTTATCCTTGACAAATTAGTTCCTTACAGTCTAAAAACTTTACACTAAAGACAGTGTTTTTATTATTTATTTTTCCACAAGCCATGTGACTGAATAGATTTGTGCCAACCCCACCATCTGTGACATGCCCCAGAGGGTTTCATTTTCTCTTTGTTTCCCAACAGGCTTGATGCTGGTACTTTTGGAACAATGGGAGTCGGTTTGGGGTTTGCCATTGCAGCTGCCATAGTGGCAAAAGATAGAAGCCCAGGGCAGCGGGTCATCTGTGTGGAAGGGGACAGTGCATTTGGGTTTTCCGGCATGGAAGTGGAAACCATCTGCAGGTAAAACAGCATCCTGAATCAGAGCATCTCTTTCTCCAGAATATGAAAAATCATACACAAGTCCCATTAGCCTAGCAAACACCAAGCATTCACCCTGTGCCAGGTGCCCTGTGCTCCACACTGCGCTGTGTCCCGAGGACGCTAGTATAAATAACCCGATGGTCTCTTTTATCCAGGACAGTGTGTTCATACCTCTTTACTGCATGTCAGAAACTCGCCACACTGGCGGGGGTAGTTTTGAGGTCACTGAAGAAAACATTCTGGTCTGAAAAAAGCTTGTTTTCTGCAGGGAGATAGCAGAGCTTGGTGGCTAAGAGCATGGCCTCTGGGGCGGGTGGCCTGGATTTAAACACTGGCTTGACCAGTCTCCTCTAAAGTGGGGATGGGTACCTTACTAGTTCCTACCTTAGAGGACAGTTGTGAGGAACAATTGAGATAATCTAGGTGCTTGAGAGGGTACTAAGTATGGAAAGTATCATTCTTACTGACACCGGGATCTATGAAAACCAAGGTTCAGGAAAGCTCGGTGATTTGCCCGAGGTCCATAACTGCACAGTGGCAGAACCAGGTCTGCCAGCCCCAAATCTGGCATTCTTTCTACGACCCCATGATATTTCTGTTAATAATTTCATAGTCTTTATTAGGACAACAAATGCTTAATTTTCAGTCTTCCCCCTAATATTACAAAAATGCTGATAGAAAGCTGTCCATTTTCCAAGTTAAAATTTCAGTCCCATGAAAAGGAATTGCCTTAGAATGAAGAATGATTTCCTCTATATTTTGCTCTCAATTTTAGGTACAACTTGCCAATCATACTTTTGGTGGTGAATAATAACGGAATTTACCAAGGTTTGGATACAGATACTTGGAAGGAAATGTTAAAATCTAGAGATGCTACTACAGCGTAAGTAACTCAGAACAATGTATATTTACTTTTTTGCATCTATTTTAATCTCTCTTTATAAAGTTCGCTGTATTGGAATGTGCTTACCGGGTGTAAGTGTTGCTTGCCTGCACGGTCAGCCCCTCTGAAGGGCAGGAACCCGCTCTTCATGGTTGGTTTTTGCACATCCAGTGTTGATTGGGCACTTCGATAAAGAGTTTATGATCAGGAAGCCACTGAAGACTTGGGTGAATGAGTTTGATCTCTAAGCCTTGTTAATGAAAGGGCTTATAGCAAAATGCTTCCAGTCCTGCTGTTCCTACTGCACCACATAGGAATATGGATGCTTAAATATTACTTACGATACAGAAATGTTTCCTTTTACCACTTGGCTCAGTCTTGATTATCTGTTGACAGAGGCAAACTGAGACAGTAGTGTGGCCGGCTATGGGGTATGAGGGTTGTGAATCTGAGTCCGCTGCAAGGGAGCGGGCGTGCTTACTGAGGCCTCGCTGACTTCATTTGTTGTTTTGCTTACTGTTTTGTAGTCAACATCCCTTTTTTTCCCTCTCTTTTGAGGGGTTTCATAATAGTTGACAGTGTAGCCTGCACTGTCCAATTTAGTAATCACTAGGCACATGTGTCTATTTAAGTTAGATTAAAAATTCACTTCCTCTTTTTAACTAGTCACATTTCAGGTGCTCACCACAACAGGTCACCAGTGGCCGCTGTACTGGGCAGCACAGGTAAAAAATTTCCATCATCACAGAAAGTTCTATTGGATGTTGCCATATAGACAAGACAAAATGTATGGGACGTTTAATGTACTGGCATCTCGGTTTGCAGAAAAGTATCTTTCTGTTCAGTCAAAATTTTTCCATGAATTATTTTGGAGAATGACTTTTTTCTTAACTTGTGACCTCCTTTTACAGAGCCCCTCCGATGTGTCTTTTGCCACACTCACATTATGAGCAGGTCATGACTGCATTTGGAGGCAAAGGGTATTTTGTACAAACACCAGAAGAACTGCAGAAATCCCTGAGGCAGAGCCTGGAAGACACAACTAAACCCTCTCTCATCAACATCATGATTGAGCCACAGGCCATGCGGAAGGCCCAGGTAAAGGCAATTGCTAAGCAGAAATGCATCTCCCCTCCCACCCCCAAAAGTATCTACCTCATAGAACACCCTGTAATTTACAGAGTTCTTTCTAAACCATTTCTGAACTTAGCACTTTGATTTGTTTGTTCAATGAATATTTATTGAGATGTGTGTTAGGTGTGCTGTGTCAGGTGCTAAGAATAGCATGGTGAGCAAAGCCAGACTCAGCCCTCACCTCATGGAGTTTACTGTCCAACAGGAGAGAAGTACAGACGAGTCACCTCTCAACTGAATGTGTCACAACAGAATGAGGCAGTTTCTCTGAAGGAAAGAAACCCAGCTCTGAATGAATGAAAAACAAAACAATCAGATTTATACTGAGGTCACAGGGAAGGCTTCTCAGAGGAAATGATGCCTAAATGAAGGATAGGTAGGGGCAAACTCAGCAAAGAGGCAAGAGATGTGCAAAGACCCTGTGGCAGGAGGGAGCACGCAAGTCTGAGGAGTTGCAAGAAGGCCGGCGTGACTGGAGGGCAGAGGGTAGAGGAGGCACAGTGGAGGTGAGACTAATAGAGTGATTTGTGCGGTTACATTCACAGTTAGTTACTTTGGCCTCTAAAAGCAAACCACAGTGTGGATGACAGCGGTAAGATAAATGACAGTGTGTAGTGTGTTCCTCTCCAAGCCCAGATTAAGATGCTGTTCACACTTAACTTTGTGCTCGGATCCTGGTCCCGCTACTTGCTTTCTCTTATATTCCTGTCCTCCACGCTCACACCTTGCATTTCATGTGCTGTTTTCAGCACAATAATTTTTGTCTTGGTTCTTTATACACGTATCTGCTGTTAAGATTTTTTCTTTTTTTGAACAAGGCAGTGGACACATGGGCAAATAGACTCCTGGACAATGAATAAAATGTAAATTAACTAATTTGGAAACTATAAAATGTATAGAATTCTACTGAAATTCTGTTCTATAAAGACAGTTACTAAGGATTTTGGTGAAAGGAACCAAGGGGAACTATAGGACAGCTGGAAAACAATAAAAGGGCAATAAGGACATATGTATCAATAATTACTTTAAATACTAATGCATTGAATTCTCAAACCAAAATAAATAGAGTGGCTCAGTGGATACCAAAACCAGACACATCTGTGTGCTGCCTCTGAGAGACTGACTTCAGCTGTAAGGACACACAGACTGAAAGTGAAGGGATAGAAAGGGATGACCCATGCATATGGAAACCAAAAGCAAGCTGGAGTAGCAATACTTGTATCAGATAAAATAGACTTTAAAACAAAAACTGTAATAAGAAGCAAAGAAGGGCATTACATAATGACAAAGGGGCCAACCCAACAATAGGACATGACATTTGTAAATATTTATGTAGACAACATAGGTGCACTTATATATATAAAGCAGATATTACCAGACCTAAAGGGAGAAACAGACAGCAATAATATTAGTGACAGTAGGGGACTTTAACACCCCATTTATATCAATGGATAGACCATCCAGACAGAAAACCAGGTAGAAAACAGCAGCCTTAAGTGACAAAACGCTAGCACACTGAACCCAGCAGCACATGAAAAGCATCACACACTGTGGCCAAGTGGGAATTATGCCAGGGGTGCAGGGTGTCCCAGCATCTACAGAGCAGTCAGTGTGTGCACTGCATGAATGAAGTGAAGGGTAGAAGTCATGTGATCATCTCCATAGATGCAGGAAAAAAGCATTTGACAAAATGCAGCATCTATTTATGGTAAAAACTCTCTTCAAAGTGGATGTACGGGGAACATACCACAACATGGTCAAGGTCATATATGACAAGCCCACAGCTAAGATCATATTCAACAGTGAAAAGCTGAAAGCTTCCTCTGAGATCAGGACCAAGAGAAGGATGCTCTCTCTCACCGCTTTTATTCACCATGGCATTGGTGGTCCTAGCCAGAGCACTTAGCCAAGAAAAAGAAATGAAAGGCATCCAGATTGGAAACAAAGAAGTAAAAGTCATTATTTGCAGATGATGTGATACTATATAGAGAAAACCCTAAAAACTCCACCAAAAAGCTGTTAGAATAAATAAATCCAACAAAGTTGAAGGATACAAAATTAATACACAGAATTCTGTTACATTTGTAAACAGTAACCACAAATTATCAGAAATTAAGAAAACAATGTCATTTACAATTGCATCAAAAATAATAAAGTATTTAGGAATAAATTTAACCAAGGACTTGGAAGATCTGTACTCTGAAAACTATACGACATAAATGAAAAAAAGTGAAGAAGACACGAAAAAATGGGAAGATATTTCATACTCATGGATTGGAATTTTAACAGTTCATATTGTTAAAATGTCAGTACTGTCCAAAGCATTCTACAGATTCAGTGCAGTTGCTATCAGAATTTTAATGGCATTTTGGAAATAGAACAAACAATCCTAAAATTCGTGTGGAACCACAAAAGACCTCAATTAGCCAAAGCATTCTTGAGAAAAAACGAAGCTGGAGGCATTAAATTACCTGATTTCAAAATATATTACAAAGCTTTGGTAATCAAAACAGTATGGTATTGGCATTAAAACAGACACATAGATTGATGGAACAGAATAGAGAGCCCAGAAATAAACCCAAGTGTATATGGTCAATTAATTTATGACAAAGGGGAAAAGAATATACTATGGAGAAAGGACAATCTCTTCAGTAAATGGTGCTCGAAAAACTAGGCAGCCACATGGAAAGAATGAAATAAGAACATATTCTTACGCCATTCTTACACCATGTTCTTACACAAAAATTAAAGTGGATTAAAGACTTGAATATAAAACCTGAAACCATAAAATTCCTAGAGGAAAACTGGCAGTAAGCTCCTTGACATTGGTCTTGGAGGTAGTTTTTTTTTGGAATCTGACACCAAAAGCTGAGGCAACAAAAGCAAAAATAAACAAGTGGGACCACATCAGACTAAAAGGCTTCTACACAGCAAAGGAGACCATCAACAAAACAAGAAGGCAACCCATTGAATGGGAGAAAATATTTGTAAATTATATTGTGTGATGCAGGGTTAGTATCTGAAAAATATAACGAACTCATTTAACTCAATAGCAAAAAGTAAACAGTCCAGTGTAAAAGCAGGCAGAAAATATAAGTAGACATTTTCCAAAGAAGACATACAGATGGCCAACGGGCACATGAAGAGATGCTCAGCATTACTGGTCATCAGGGAAATGCACGACAAAACCACGATGAGATGTCCCCTCGCACCTGTTAGAATGGCTGTTACCAAAGAGACAAGAAATAAGCGTTGGTGAAGATGTGGAGAAAAGGGAATCCTTGTGCCCTGTTGGTGGGAGTGTAAATTGGTACAGCCATTATGGAAAACAGTATGCAGGGTCCTCATGAAATTAAGTGCAAGACTACCATGTGATCCAGCAGTACCGCTTCTGGGTGTTTATGTGAAGAAAATGAAAACACTAACTCTAAACGATACATGCACTTCCATTTTCCTTGCAGCAGGATTTACAATAACCAAGATACGAAACAGCCTACAAGTTGGATTATTATTCAGCTATAAAAAAGAATGAAATCTTACCATTGCAACAACATGGATGGGCCTTGAGGGCGTTATGCCAAGTGACTTAAGTCAGACAGAGAAAGACAAGTGCTATATAATCTCACGGAATTTAAAGCAAACAAAAACATGAGGCTCCTAGATACAGAGACAGATCGGTGGTTGCCAGGGGTGGGTGGTGGCGATGGGAAAAATGGGTGAAGGGGGTCAAAAGGTATAGAAAACAAATATGTCATTGGAGATGTAATGCACAGCATAGTGACTATAGTTAATAATGTATCGCATATTTGAAAGTTGCTAAGAGAATAGATAGTAAAAGTTCTCGTCACAAGAAGAATTTTTGTGACTACGTACGGTAATGAGTGTTAACTAGACTTACTATAGTGGTGACTTCTCAATGTGTACAAATACCGAATCATTATGTTGTGCACCTGAAACTAACGTAATGTTATGTGTCAGTTATACTTCAGTTTCACAGAGACAGAGGCAGGCTTTGGCATAGCCTCCCCTGGGCTCTTCTCAGAGCAGAGAGAAGAGATACTTGGGGAGAAGGATGCTGAGGGGGGTGATGAGCAGAGAGAGGTGGGGGGGAGATGGCATTAGCAGGGATCTGTGCGGAGCAAGCAGGCAGACTCTTGTTAGGTCGGATTCACAACTTTCAGAACCTACTCTGTACCTTTGTGGCTTTAATGATTGCCTTTTAAAAAAAAATCTAATGAGGGAGGAGGGTGGGAAGGGATAAACTTGGAGTTCAAGGTTTGCAGATACTGACTAGTAGCTATAAACAGATGAACAAATTTATACTGTAGAGCACAGGGAAATATATTCAGTATCTTGTAGTAGCTCATGGTGAGAAAGAACATGAAAATGAATATATTATATTCACGTATGACTGAAGAATTGTGCTGTACACCAGAAATTAACACAACATTATAAACTGACTATGACTCAATAAAAAAAAGAAAGAAATCCCCCCAAATTTTTTTAATTTAAAATATCTAGTTGTTGAAGTATTTAATACTTTGATTTTGTTTTGACACCTCATTTTCTTACTGTGAAAAAATTAGTTCCCAACAATACTAATTACTTGATTTTATCCTGATGCACCACACACAGAGACATTGTTATATAAGCTATTGTAATAGCTTCAAAATAACAATTTTAGTACGAATATAAACCTACTAAATTCAATTTAAGACATCTTTGCAGGTGTTTTTTTCCTTTAGTTATACAGTGAAAATACAGAGCTTTAAAGTCATAATAACTTTTCTCAAAGTGGTTATGCCACTAACTTTATACAGTTAGTTTCATTTGTCTAATTTTTGGCTTTAAATGGGTTTAAAAATATTTTTAAAAGAAAATCTAGTTGTTGAAATGATTCCTGCTAGCTAGACTCACAGTAAATAGGTCTTAAAATCTCATGGCATTTTGTCTGCAGCTGAGTATGTGGCTGGGATGTTAGTTTTGCAACCCAGGACGCCCTCCTCCGGGCATCAGGGTGTCAGAGTCCTAGGGAAACTAAAGCCACAAGAGGCTTGGTAAACACGTTCAGGACACACACACAAAATAGTCTTGACACCTGTGCTGGTCACATAGAGGCCCAGATTGTCCCTGTACTGCCTTTCTAAATGATCTTTGAAAGGTCTATTCTCTAAGTTCTCTATGAATTTGGAGTGGGTGTGGCTGGAAAAATACAAGTTCTTATTTCTTCTTTTATGATTTGATGAAGATTATCCTGATATTTTTTGCATGTACCACTTAACATTTTTTAATCTTCATTCCAGTAGAATTCCAAACACATTATAGTTTCTAAGCTGTTGATTTTTTACTGATGGAGTGTGTCCATCACCATTTGTCATTCTTTTAAAATTGACGTATAGTTGATTTGCAATATTATGTTAGTTTTAGGTGTACAGAATTTCTATAGATTATACTCCATTTAAAGTTATAAAATGTTGGCTATGTTTCCTGTGCTGTACAATATATCCTTGTAACATGTATTTTTATATGCAGAAGTTTGTGTGTCTCAATTTCATACCCCTATCTTGTCCCTCCCCCATCCCTCTCCCCACTGGTCACCTCTAGTTTTCTATGAATCTGAACAAATATGTGCACCCCAGTGTTCAGAGCAGCACTATTTACAATAGTCAAGACATGGACGCAACCTAAATGTCCACTGACAGACGACTGAATAAAGGAGATGTGTATATATGTACATATGTTTGTATATATATATGTATATATGCATATATACACACAACAGAGTATTCCTCAGCTAAAAAAATGAATGAAATTCTGCCATCTGCAACAACATGGATGGCAGATGGACCAGAGAATGTTATGCTTAGTGAAATAAGTCAGAGAAAGAAGAATACTGTATATTACCACTTATATGTGGAATCTGAAAAATTAAACAAATGAATATAATGAAACAAACAGACTCACAGATACAGGGAACGGACCAGTGGTTACCATTTGTCATGGGAGCGGTCTGGCTGGCCGCTTCCCGCTATAATACAGGGAGGCCCTAATCTCCACAGCTGCCTGTGGCCGGGTCACTCGTGTGCGATGACTTTAGTCTTGGGCAAGGCTTCCGTGCACTGGCCTTTCTACCCTCGTTCTTAGACGTGGGAGCTCGGCCCTCTGTGAGCTGCCTCCATCTCCTCGCTTCTTTTGCATGGATTTCTGGTGCTTTCAGACTCCAGTTTTTTTTGTGCCCTGATTACTATTAATAGGGGAGGACCTAGAAAGTGATTTTAGGTTGTTTTGTAGGACGAGACAGCAAGGTTCACTGATGGATTTTTATTAGCTCCTTTTTGGGAAGCGCTCCAGACCAAAGACAGACTTCATTCACCATCATCGCAGCTAGCGTGGTGCTAGCGGGACTTTTAGAGTTTAGATCGAGCGAAACAGGATCTAGTTTGAGACAGTTACTTCTTTTGACTGAATGCTTGTCTTTCTTTTTCTAGGACTTTCACTGGCTGACCAGCTCTAAAATGTGAAGACTCCAGTGAGTGGCTTGAGGAGCTTTCTCTTTCCTGTGAGGTGGACTTTTATTTTCCACAGCAACATTACTGTAATGTTAAAATCGTTGTGCAAAGAAAAATAAAATACATTTCTAAATGATATTTTATAATAAAGGAATTGATTAAAAAACATTAAAAGTTACCACCAGTATCTTATCACAGAAATAACCACTTACAGATGAAAAGAGTTTATTAAATAGCATTGTTACACATCAGTTTTCTTTTAAGTAAACCTATTCCTGAAGTCACATATCTTTTAAAAACATCTTCCAAGGAAGAAAGTTCCAAGAACTGTCCAGTGCCAGGCGTGTTCTGTACGTTGGGTACCTGGACTCTCCCTGCTTGTCTGTAGACCACTTCCTACCTTAGCTGTGAAGGAAAAGCCGGGCTGGGCTAACAAGATAGCTCACAAATCTAAGTATCGGAATACTGATCTGAGTTTTGCTGCACTAACTTGTAAATCTAAGTTAATTAGTGTTGGTTTGCTGTTCATGTTTTTTTGCTTGCCAGCTGGGTTTTCAAAGATACATATCTGGCTTTGGAATGTTGGTTTGCTGCCTCCCCGCCTCCACTTTTGTGATGATAATGCTGCTAAAGCTGTTCCGTGCCTATTGGCCGCATACCCCAAGCTTGTACTTTACCCTATAAAACCTCATGTGCACGTCTTGGAGGTGCTCAGAGCTTTGGAGCAGAAGCCCCTCTGAGCCCGCCGGTGTAATACATCTGAGTACTCCAACCCTCCGAGTGGTGCTTGTTTCTTGTCTGGCCTGTCGTTTCCGTAACAAGCCTCTGTATTTCATGGGGCTTGTCCTACACTTATGAGTTGGGTTTTTGTTCTGTTTTGTTTTTCTGGAAATGACTTATTGCACCACACCCAAAGTAATAATTTCAGGGTATATTTGGATTAACAGCCTTCTTTATGTGTGCCACCTTGAGACCAACAGAATCAACAGCCTTAATATATAAAGAACTCTTATAAATAAGAAAGATATTAATACACTATTAGAAAAATGGGCAAAGGACATGAATGTGTGATTAACAGAAGTACACAAGTAATCCATAAAAGTATGAGTATGAATAAATATGAATTGTAAGTTAAACTGGAAAAACCTTTTTTCACCCTAGCTGCTTGGCAGTGCACTTTTTAAATGATAATTCTCAGCGTTGGGTGAGGTGAAGTGGGGACTGCCGTGCTGGTTGGAAGATGAACGTGGTACAGGAACCCACAGAGTAACTCTAGCAGTGCTGGTGTTTGCAATCATAAATGTGCATACTCCATAACTTGACCCAGTGGGCCGATTTCAAGAATGTATTTTAAAGAAGTAATAAAATATTTGGTCAAATATTGACATATATAAGGCCGTTCAGCATAGCTTTACTTAGGAACACCACCAATGTTTAATAAGACATTTGTTATATAAATTATGATCTGTCAACATCACAAAGTAAATGGAGAAATTATCACAATATAATACTAACATGAGAAAAGCAAGCTACAAAAGTGGATGGGTCTGGGTCAGGATATACGCCTTTTACTCACACGCAGATACATACATAGAGGGAAAAGATGGGCACGAAATAAACCAACATTAATGTAACTTGGTGATGGGATCGTAAGCAATTTTTAATTTCCTCTTTTCCTGCTTTTACAAAATTTTAGAATAAAAATAATTATCTAATTGTATTGTTAGAAGAGGCAGATAGCTAGATATGAGCAGAGAAAGGGGGGACACAGACCAAATGGCAGGAACTGGGCAGAAGGAGGGGCACAAGCCAAATGCAGGACACCACACATCATGTCAGCACCAGGGGTCCCTGGGCAGAGAAAGAAAAGCAGGAACCTTTGGGCTGATACGGGGCCACACCTTTTGGTCTGGAGAACAAAGAAAGGTGAGAAAAGGCAGGAATTTCCAGTGTCTGAATGTAACCTTTTGCTCATTATGCCCCCATTTCAATAAAATCCGCCTTGCAGATCAGAAGTACCCATCGTGCACCAACGCCATGTCAGTGCTGATCCAGACTCAATGGCAAAAATGCCTCCCTCCTCTGGGAAGGTGGAGTTGGGATGATAATCAGGAAATACAACCCCAAGCCCTTCCCTCCGCAGTGAATATTCTGCCCATTCATTTTTGCACCCTGTGTAACTAACTTGCCAAAGAAACACAGGGCAGCTGCTCACCTGAGCCTGCGCGCTCTCCCCTTGAGAGTGTGCTATCCATCCTTTAATAAATCCTCACTTTACTTTTCTTAACCACTACGTCTTGTCTCTGAATTCTTTCTGGGACGGGACAAGAACCTGGAACACCGGATGCGTCCACCGGCAACAGTATTACCAGTAACAGACATTATTTCAAGAGAATGCTGGAAATGGAAAAGTATCCCTTATTTTCAGGGCCATCCTTGTTGATTTTCTGCGGTTCTACATGAATCGCAGTATAGGACTTTACATCCGAGTTCAGCTTGTTTGACTGTGCTGTACACATCAGATTCGTCTCCACTGGCTGGTTAGGGGCCTAAGTGACCTCCACAGAGTGGTGGACTGCAGCTTTGAGGTGTGAACCCAGGGGATACCTGCAGGGAGCCGTGGTTTTTACCTGACAGTCCCCTGAAATCAGGCAGGTTCTTGAACAGAGTTACACACTAGAGAGCCTGGGCTGTGTAAGAGCAGAGAATATCCTAGAAGGGTGGAGGAGGTGTCCAGGCTCATGTTACCTCTGCCCATGGACCCTGGCCGCTGGCGGCCAAGGGCAATACAAGATTCTGCTGGAAGGCAGTGTGGAGAGCTTGATGGGTACTTGTGAGTTGAACTGTATAAGTCTGGATACTAGATACAATTTGGGGAAACAGCTCTTTCTCTAGTCATATTATCTCAAGAGAGAAGAAATGTTGGCAGAGCAGTAGACTGCCCAGCAGAGGTCAGTCTGAACGTACAAAGATCAGACTAGTCCAGGAGCATGGTCCACCAACTGCCTGTTTTATAAATGGGACCTTGAACTTGGTCTCCTCATTGGAATCTTTCCTTAAAGGATAGATACTGAATAAGCCACTCTATAATGAATCTGTTGGTTGATAGTCAAAGCTTGCTTGATGAAACATTTTGCATCCTCTAGTTTAATAATGAACACTCTTTATGTGATCCTAGTACATTGAATGCTTAAGTGCGTCGTAAGAACTGAACTTTGACAGATTATGGTTGTTTTCTTGATTTAGGAAAACTAAGAATCCCGGCTGGGAAATGGATTAGTTCCTCTGTTCCTGTTCTTTTCAAAACCTTTCGTACTTCAAGGGGTTGTCTGGGGATTCAAAAAGCTATCCAAGGGCGAGGCTATAGTTCAGTGGTAAGAGTGTATGCTTGGCATGCTCAAGGTCCTGGGTTTAATCCCAGTACCTCCATTTAAATAAATAAATAAACCTAATTACCTCCCCCCTCCCAAAATAATAAAAGTAGGGGGCTGGGAGGAAGGGAATGAAAAAAAAAACACTTCCCCAATTGAAGAAAAAAAAAAGCTCTCCAGAAGCCCCAGCCCGATGCCTGGCCTCTGGAAGGCACTCAGTCAACGCCACTGTGTCTTAGGAATACGCAGCTTCAGGGAGGAGGAGAACGCTGGCTGGAATTGTGTCCTGTTTAGCAGCATGGTCTCACTTTTCAAGTAAGTGGGTCCTGTTTCCCAAGTAGATGAGTCATTTCCTGGAAAGCGGGCTGTGTGTTTTCACTTCCTTCTGCAGCCACCCGCCCACTGACTAACAGCTGAATGAGCATCCATGATGGCTGGAAATCGCTCAGTGGGTGTTTTCTGTGTTGTTTCACATATGCACCTTTGATGCAGCTCAGCTCATTATGTGACGGGAGTATATCTTCCTTAGGGAAAAAAGTCTCAAATTTGTTACAAAGAAATAATAGGGTTTTGAACACCAAAGGAAAATGAAAATAGTCTTGCATCTGAAAGTATCTTTGTTCTCTTACTATTTTTAATTGAATTGCAAGTAACATACAGTATTATGTTTCAGGTGTACAACGTAGCGATGAGATATTTTTATACATTATGAAATGGTCACCAGGGTAAGACCAGTTACCATCTGTCACCAAACAAAGTTGTTACAGTGTTACTGACTCTTCCCCATGCTGGTCATTGCTTCCCTGTGACTTGTTTTACAGCTGGAAGTTTGTACCTCTGAATCCCCTCCACCTATTTCATCCATCCTTCCACCCCTCTTCCCTCTGGCAACCACAGTGTTCTTTTTATCTATGGGTCTGTTTTATTTTGTCTGTTCATCTGTAATATTTCTTAGAATCCACATATAAGTGAAATCACACTGTATTTGTCTTTCTTTCTTTGATTTACTTCACTTAGCGTACCACCTTTCAGGTCTATCCTTGCCACGAATGGCAAGATTTCATTCTTTGTATGACTGAGTAGTAGTATGTGTGTTGATACCACGTCTTCGTTATCCAGTCATCTATGGATGGACATTGAGGTTGCTTCCATATCTTGGCTACTACAAATAATGCTGCACTGAACATAGAGGTGCATATATCTCTTCAAATTAATGTTTTTATTTTTATTTTGGATAAATACCCAGGAGTGGGATAGCTGGGTCGTATAGTAGTTCTATTTTTAGTTTTCTGAGGCACCTCCATACTGTTTTCCACAGCGGCTGCACCAATTTCCTTTACTGTTTCCGAGACACTTCTCTAGGCAGTGGAGAAGCCATGCTGTGCAGTGAGGAAGTGACTAAGTGGCTAAAGCGTGTGCAGACTTACAGTGACATGAATGTACTGAGACCTGGAAACCAGTTCAGTTCCAGATGGGGATTATGACTGAGGCACCCTGATAAAGCTGACTCTGCGGACCGCTGTGGGGAGGGACATGTGTACTGAGGAATCACCAGTGTTTTCTGCTGGCATTTGCTGCTAATCTGAATAGCACAGTCAGTGGATGGAGGAAATCGAAGGCCCTGCGAACCCCTCCCATAGGTGAGGCGCAGGTTAAGGTGCACCTCGGGTGGGGTCTGAGGCAGGACTGCCTGTGCCTCTGCTTTTCCCTGGATTATCTCGGTTCTCCCTCCCCTGTGAGGGCTTTTCCTGCAGGAGAGAGCCCGCCACTGAGGGAGCCGAGAACAAAGGAACCT